CTCTCTCTTTCTCTTTCCCCCATCTTCTCTCTTCCCCTTCCCTCTTTCTTTCTAACCCCCCCCCCCCCCCCTCTTCCCTGTCTCTCAAAGGCACCCGCGCTACACACGTCTGCCGCTCCGGTACCTGTCTCTCTTCTCTCTCTCTCTATAGTTCTCCTCCCTTCCAAAGGCCAGTGCTTCTATCTCTTACTCCCCGTGTCATCACCTCTTTCTCCCCCGCTCTCTAAGGCATGCACGATACACGAGCACATTGCCCAGTCCCCCTACCCCTCTCCATCTCTCTCCTCCCTCCCTCTCGCGTTGCCCTACCCCTCTCTCTCTCTCACACACACGGATGGGGTCAGTGCGTTCTTGCTTGTGGAGTCCTCTGTCTTAGGCAGGTTGCTTCTTGCACTCCTTTTATGGATCAAATAAATATATGTATATATCGTAAAACAGAACTGCCTGGTAAACCATCGGCAGAGAGGGAGAAGAGGACAACAAATGAGGGTCTGTGACAAACTGTTTCGTCTGTGTTTCACCGACTCATCACGAGGCTGAACACTCGACAGCCTGCAGAATCCCTAACTGATTACACTGTAAGTGATAATCCACCTTAACCTTGGTTGTGGTTAAGCATCAACGACTGCCCGAAAACTGATACCCTGACGTGGGCACGAAAAGTAGACTGTCACTCACCCACACTAGAACAAGCCAGCAAACACTCACGGAACAAAGAAAGGTCTATCACAGCCAAAAAATACACTCCAGACACGCCACTGGCACTAGAGGCAAGCATGGCCGCGTAGTGGCGGCCCCAACCACCGACACTCAACCTGACTGGGAGCAGGGTGCTATCGAAGTCGTGGTATATATCGTCAAACAGTACTGCCCGGTAAACCGTCGGCCGAGAGGGAGAAGAGGACAACAAACTAGGGGCTGTGACAAACTGTTTCGTCAAAGTTTCACGGACTCATCAGGAGGCTGAACCCTCGATAGTCTGCAGAATCCGTAACTGATTCAACTGTTAGTGATAATCCACTTTAACCCTGGTTGTGGTTAAGCATCAACGACTGCCCGACAACTGCTACCCTGAGGTGGGCGCCAACCGCTGCCCTCAAAGGTACCTATGACGAAAATCAAAGCAGAATATCACTCACCCACACCAGATGGAAAATTCTACAGACTGTGGGTTCACATATATGTATATGTGCAAGTGCGC